AAATTGTTGTCAACCACAGCTGGAGCTAGTCTGTCAGCCAGCTCGCAATTAAATGACAAGGAGACTTCTTATTAATTATGAAAGTTTGGCTGATAACTTGGGATTGTTTCTAGCTAGCTCTTATAACTTAGGGTAGCCCATTTCCATTAATTTATTTTCTGTCTCATGACTTTATTACCTCATCTGTAAAGTGCCCATCCTGCTCGTTCTTCATCCCCTGGTGAATTCTCTTTTCTTCCCAACATTCTATTTGCCTCAAAATCCTGCCTAGCTATTGGCCATTTAGCTTTTTATTAAACCAGTCAGAATGACATATCTTCACAGTGTACAGAAAGATTATTCCACAACACACAGCTATCCTGTGTTGCTAGCACTAGTCCCTCCAGCCTCCGTACAACTTTCAAAGGAAATCCTTCTTCCTGGCAGCTTTTAGATGCTCTGGTCCTTGCACTCTAAAATTTCATATAAATCTCTGTGTGGTTTCTCTCTGTCTCTCTCCCCGTCTTTCTCTTGTTTGGAATTTGTTGAGTCTGTGCCTGCTGTAGATGAGTGAAGACTGCCTTTATCAAACCCTCTGTCACCCCATCCTCTTCTTCTGCACTCACTTTTCTAGTGATCCAACAAAACCTTCACAGTCTCTCTTCTGTGCCATTTGTGAGTCTTTTTGATTATCTGGTGTCTTTCTTGCCTCGTTTATCTAATTGGTCCCTATTATCAGATCTGCTGTTACTTTCTCCATCTGACTTTAATCTCTTTTAATCTTCTCCTTCGCCGACTTCTCTTTGATAATCTCGCTTTGTCATCATGCTTTCAGATCCTGCCTTCGTTATCTAGACATATTAAACACATTTACTCTGCAAAAAAGTTTTGCGATAGCAACTCTAACAGCTTTCAGCACTTAGCAACTATTCCATGAATATTGAAACTTTGTTGGCTTTATCAGTCCTGTCTATTTTCTGAGTTCAGAGACAATTTATGTTTTCTTCAGCTTGGCTCTTGAGGGCAACACTGACATTCGGCATATGTCCAGTACACACACTTTAATACAAACAGAATCAGGGAACTCTCTCAAAGATCCAGATCCCCTCATACTACCAAGTGAATGTCTAAAACTCATTTGAAATGGCAACTAAGAGAAGCATGATGTGGCCACTCCCCAGTCCCACTCCCAGCAGATTCCTTCAAGAAGCCTTCTGTTCATAACTCCTTTAAGAGAGGCTTCCTCGGGTTGCAGACATTCTGTCCCAACACATCAAATGCCCAGATCCTGTGTGTGCATTTCTGGTACCCTAATACAGATTTACACAGGACATTTGCATGTGTGTCTGAGTGTTCGAGCAGAGTCTGTTCCCCAGGGGATGGCTCCTTGTATCTCACGTAATGTTCCCTCGTACTCACAGCCACATAGGTCTAGTTTGTAGCAAGCACAAGTAAGAAGATTCTTATAAATTAATGAGTGAAATGATACTTTATAGAACTTAGGGAGCAAGAAGTCCTTATGTTCACAGATAAACACTGGGAAAACCAGGAACATTAAACATGCAGAATAGTCTCTTCAAGGGAAGAGAAACATAACTTGTTTTTCACCCAGAAGACTGGCAATGGATGTAGTTAATAGCTTGGTGATAGTGACCTGTGTTATATGTAGGGCCAGGTCACACCTGACTCGCTCCAACATTTATGTTTATCTCAGTCTTTCTCACTAGACCCTTATAGTGAGCATTCTTTCTCGGTCAGCCGACCCCACCTTTATGGAAAAGGACATATGTACTTTGTAAAGAGTTTCAATATAAAAGTATGTCTTAAACTTTGTTAATTATCATCATGGATTGAGTTAATTATCATCAGAAACTTTCTTCCAAAATTGTACTCTGCTTAAATATGCCTAAAATAACACAAACAGCCCAGGGTCAGTTCCTAGCAGTTTGAACCAACACCAGCTACAGAGTTGTGTTGAACTAGACTTCCTTCTTGCCTCATGCAGATCATTTCTCTACTGGCTGTGGAGTTTAAAGAGATCCCAAGAATTTCTTCAGAGTCGAATTGCTCTCTTAGTTAAAGAGAATTTGCACAATATCACAAATGCATTTTCAGAATCAAAACATTTCTATTGTTTTAAAAATGGGGCCTATGAGCAAATGAAGATCATGATAGTCATATAGTTAATAGTTTGATGCTAAGTAGCTATTAATTATGTTTATTTCCTATATGTTGAATAATACAGGTGTTTTATAATGATCCAACCTCATTTTCATTCAGAGTATGAATCTTGAAAAGGCCCTGCAATGGCTCTTAGTTTTGTAGAGGGCATGACTCATGGGAAGAAGCTCACTCAGATAAGAAACTTGATCTAGGAAACACAGACTCCAGTGACACCGTTTACCTCTCTGAAGCTTCCTGTCCAAATCTGCCTGTCTCAGCAGGAGTTTGGCATGCTTCTCATTTTCCCTTTAATTATCTGCACTCTCAAAGTCTTTGGCTCAGCATAAACTGTGGACAGAAAAGTGTTCTGTGGTAAATGGGAAGGAGAAATATGTGATATGCAAGCAAGCTGAGCAGGACTCTGCCTCCAAAGAGCCTGTTTTGTTTAGAAAAGTAGCAAGCAGACCATTACACTGTACACTGACAGACTTTTAATTGCTAACAGTCACCCATCTTTCCTCGGCAATATAGTTTCACAAGTACTTTATTTACCAAATCTAAAACCCACATTATGAGGTAAATCATTAGTGTATATAATATTAGTGTGGAGAATATCTGGAAAAAAAGGATAGCCCTCAAAAAATAACTTACCCTTGATTGTATGGTACATTGTAAATATCAAAAACATTAGAAGAAAACTGTGAGGTTTAGAATTGATAGCTTGTATTAGCATCTGTCACTCTCTTGGGTCTCAAGTTGTATGGTTTAGCATCCCTACTCTAAGGCAAGAGAATTGCTGGGCATAGCATGGAAAGCAGGCCCTTTGTTCCATCCCAGCTGCATGGCCAGCTTAGCCCCAAAATAATCACAGAAACTGTATTCATTAAAACACTGCTTGGCCCATTAGCTCAGGCTTCTTATTAACTCTTGTAACTTATATTAGCTCATTATTCTTATCTATGTTAGCCACGTGGCTCAGTACCTTTTTCAGTGGGGCAGGTCACATCCTGCTTCTTCAGTGTCTGGACAGAACTGCAGGGGAATGGACGTCCTCCTTCCTAGAATCCTGTTCCCTTTGACCTGCCTCTACTTCCTGTCTGGTTGTCTGGCCTATACTTCCTGCCTGTCTACTGGCCAATCAGCATTTATTTAAAATGTAATTGACAGAATACTGAATTGTCCCACACCAGCTGTGTTCAGTGATAACACTGCAAGAAGAGTCGGGATTGAGCAGAAACTGATCTGGGGTCAAGTTCCTGCTCTTGCTTGGATTCTTGGTAGAAATGACATTTCCTTTATATTTATATATATATATATATATATATATATATATATATTTTAAAAAGGTCACTTAATTCAAAATTGAAGAACACTAGGACTTCTGCTAAATCTTGAATGCACCTGAGAATTAGTTGTTATAATAAGACTTAAAAGACTATAACTTAAAATCTTTAGTTTTACCTTTCGCTAAAATGGTTGTAGCGATCAGCAGAAAGAGTGGTTAGTAAGTCTTACCCAAGTCAATGGTGAGATAATTGACTGTGAAGCTGTAAATAATAGCAGTGAATGTTACTAGATGACACAGACTGGAAGAGAGTTGATGGTAACTTCAGGGACTGTAACCATGTGTTTCCTATTTGATTAGGTGGAAGGTCTTTTAAAGAATCCATTAAATGTCTCTTTCAAAGTCTTATAAAAAGAAGTCCATTTCTATACAGTTTGCTGAAAAAAAAGTAATTTTGACATCATGTTGAATAGCAACTAATCTTTATAAAGAACCCAAGATGACTAACCCAAAGAAAGAGACTTCATATTTCCTCTTATGTAAGAAGTCGTATGATCTCCTCTTAAAAAAAAACTAATGAGTTAAGAAATAACATCCGTATGCTACATTGTTTTTCCTATAAATAAGGAATTATGTGTAGGAAGAAATGGTAGTTAAATATACCTTTGGCCAGTTGCGTAGTCATGATTACCAGACTTCATCTGTGGAAGTTCAGGAAAGCAGAATTAGAAAAGTCAGAAAAGATTTCATTAAGATAATTCTCTTAAAAATGAATTAGAAAATTCTCCTCCAACTGTTCATGTCTTTAGTAGTCAAGATGAGTTGAACAGAGCTTTAAGAAAAATTAGAGTTGTTCCTTCTCACAGTGTGGTACTGGAAACATCTATACCGAATCCAAAATGATGACTTGCTGAAAATGCAGGTTGCCTTACCCCATTGCTAAATTGTCTAGTAGATCAAGAAACTGCATCTGAAACACACCTCAACCCACCAGTGGCTGTGACCATGCTGGGTTCCACCACTAATTTAGCACTTGGCTCTCCCCCACCTAGTACTTTAGACTGACGGAACTGTGAATTGAGCCTGATTGAATTTTTGTTCCATGTTTCATCTACCAGTGATTTATGAGGCATCCAAGGGGACACAAAGAATGTGAGTGTAGGTATTCAGATGTGTCTTAGCTCTTGATAACATACAAGTATTTATCCAGGATAAAGAAATTGAAGTAAGACTTTCTGAAATCTAATATAACGTCAAAATAAAGAGAACTAAAGTGATCCCCTTAGCTGTAGGAATGCACAGGATAACTCTTGAAGGTTTTTGTCTGCTTGGTTCTCATTTTGTTCTATTTTGTTTATGTCTATATGAGAGAAAAGAGCAAGGCACTATCAGCTAGATGGGTTGTGAAGCTATTCCAATTTGGGTGTGGAAGAAAATGAAGCCTTATTAATGGTTCTTTTACTGCCATATTGATTTTTAAAAAACGGTAACTTCAAATTTGCTACTGAATTTATAAATGTGTGGGTCTAACCAAACTGTGGCCTAACGAGTGAGTTGTTCTTTTCTGTTACAGCAATTGTTCAACTGCCAAGCTCTGCGGAAATTAAGCATCCCTGATAATGACCTCTCAAGTCTGCCGACCTCTATCGCTAGCCTAGTTAATCTGAAGGAACTCGACATCAGTAAAAACGGTAAGACTCTCCAAACACCTTCATATCACTTTACTGAAGATAGCTTCTATTTTTTTTTCTTAGTGAGTGGTAACTTTTTCTTTGACTTTACTAAAGTTCTATTTAAGACTTAAGTTGTGCTTGGCTGTGGATCCCTGCATCTGCTTTCCATCAGTCTCTGAATGTGGGTGACAGTTCTGTGGCTTGATCTGTTTGTTGGGCCCCTGGCAGTGGAACCAGGACTTATCTGGGTATATAAAGTGGCTTTCTGGAGCCCATTCCCTATGGTGGGGTACCATGCTCAACCTTGATGCAGGAGAGGGGCTTGATCCTGCCTCAGCTTGGTATGCCAGACTTTGTTGACTCCCCATGGGAGCCTTACCCCCTCTAAGGAGTGCATAGGGGTGGAATGGGGGGATATGGGGGGTCAGAGGAAGGATGGGGGACTGCAGTTGGTATGTAAAATGGAAAAAAAAAACTTCTTTAAATAAAAATGAGTTAAAGACAGCATCCTCCCTTTTCCTCACAGTATGACTGACTTCCCCAGATCTCATTCCTCTCTGAAATCAGGCACATATCCTAATTCTCTAATTATTCCCCATCCTCTGCTAGGTTTATTCCTCATTTTCAGAGTATTACATACTCAATGAGCTTTGTTTCTTTCTTGAAGTAATCCTCCCATTTGCTTCCCTGGGCTCCACTGTCTCATCGGCACTCTCCTCTGCACAGAATTCACTTACTCACCAGGGTTACTGGCTTTCTTCTCCTGACCCAGATTGCAAATTCTGTAAGCTGGCAGGAGGGGCATAACTGTTTTGGTTATTGACACATCCCAAATGTCTTGAGCAGAGCCTGAAAAACTATCAGGGCTCAGTCATATCAGTTATATTTTGAGCCAGGTCATACACCTGGTGATTTTGCTGACACTGGTGCTAATATCAATGTTCATGTTGATATTTTTGCTGATGGTTTCCAAGAGGAGGCTGGGCTTTTAGATGGTCTCATGTGTCCTAAGCCATTCAGTAGGACCTCATTCCTTCCCAAATGGGTTCAGCTACATGTTTTATTAGAATAAATCAAATAACTAGCCCAAAGAATTGTGATCAGGTAATTTGTGAATGCAAAGCTCAGCCTCACCATCATCATGTTTTCAGATAAAAAATGTGGTTGTGGTCACATACAAATAGCGTTATGGTTACTCTACTCAGATTGTTGGTGCCAAGGTGACAGACACGAAAAAGCTAGTTCTCCCTCACAAAACTTGCCTCTCAGAAAGTGGTTTAGATATTCAAATAAGTAGCTATAGAGGATTGAAAAAATATTTGTGTGTAAAGTTACCTTAAATCTAAAGGCCATCCTTAGACAGAGGGTGGATGCATTCTCAATAAATATTTACTGAATGAGACTCATCAGTAAGTTTACAGTGTCACTGGCAAGATAAGACAGGCACCCACAAATAATCAGTCATCTCTAAGTACTTGGTCACATGCTTTCTTAGAGAATGGGAAGACTAATTAAGACTGTTGTATTAATAGAAAAGGGTTCCAGATTTAGCTTGAAAGAGATGGTAATACATGTTGTCAATCAGACACTAAAACAACCTTCCAGCTAAGCTAACTGGACACTCAGAGGGTTTTCATGAAGACAACTCTCTATACACAGGTATAGCAACCATTTTAGGCCCATGGAGAGGGGCCTCCTAGCCATTTTTATTCTTGTATGAATATATTCACTGGATGTGGAAAGATGGCATTTAAGAAAGTATACAGTTCTTCCTGAAGGTCTTATTTCAATTTCCAGCACCCCCATCAGTGACTCGCAACTGCTTGTAGCTGAAGCTCCAAGGGATCCAACACCTTCATCTGGCCTCTGTGAACACTACACATGTATGGCATGCACACACAAATAAAATAGAGATAAATGTTTATAAAATAATAGATTTATAGGACATTCCCTGTGTGTTACTACTGTCAAAAAGTTCAATTGCATTTATATTTCAAATTCAACTTTCACAGTATAATTCTAAGAAATTAATATGATTAGTACCACATCTGGCCTTTGTGTAGGTTTAGCAGACAGTACAAATAAATAAAAACTTACCTTATTTTTAAAGATGATGAGACAACATATCACTACATATAAACCTAAAGTTCCCAAGACTCAATCTTATTGAGAGCATATAATAATTCCCAGTGCTGTTTTTACACTAAAATTTACAAGTTACATATGTTTTTCCCCAAAGGAAGTCTGTAGGCATCTTTAGAAGACGTTGAATCAATTACTTAGTTTTACCTCCATATCCTGGAAACATTTACACAAAATGGAACGCGAGAGATGTCAGGCCACTGTAGAGTACACATTAAATTACAAAAGTGTGAGGTAACAATGCCCAGACCACGGCTGGCAATCACACAAATAGCCCTTCAAATATTCTAGCTGTGCTGTGACAAGGACCTGGGCAGTTACTCAAGGACCTTAACTCATCTTTCAGGAATCTGTCCAGTGAAGAAAGAACAGGAGTGTGAAACAAGAGTAGAGTCAGCATTACAATTGGCAGCTGAAATAGCCCTTCCCGGGATGGGAGAGGCTACAGCTGAGCTGGAGCACAGGGATAGAAGATAGGTCATTATCTCTTGACAGATCCATGCAACCTGAGCAAAAACCTGAGTGAAATAAGTTCGGTTTAGATGAGAGAATCCTGAATACATGAACTCACTCTGAGCCTAAAGTTGCTTTCAACCATTCGTTTGTACCCTAATCTTACTTCTGCTGTCTTCTTGTCACATCACCCTTGATCATCTCAATGGCATCCAGCTGGCACCTTGTGACATAGGAGCTATACAATTTCCTCAGCCCAGGTTCTTTCCTCTCTAGCTGAATACCATAATCTCAACAGAGTCCTCTATGCATTAAAAAAGAATTCCCCAAGGGGGCATGCATGGATCTCCCTGGGAAAGGGAAATAGAAGAGATCTACAGTGTGGACTGGGAAAGGGTGGGGATGAGTACTTGGTGGGTTGGGTGAGGAGGTAGATGATGAGGGAAAGTACGGAAAGACATGACTGGAAAGAGGGTAAGGGGTTCAGGTAGAAACCTGGTGCAAAGGAAACTCCCAGAAATCTGAAAGGATGACCCTGGCTATGACCCCTAGCAATAATGGCTGCACAGCTTGAACTGACTATCTGCCATCACGAGATTAGTGCCTACCTTAACTGTCATCAGAGAGACTTCTTCCAGTAACTGATGGAAACAGATGCAGAGATCCAGAGCCACACATTAGGCTGAGCTCAGGAATCCTGCTGAAGAGCGGAAGGATTATAGGAGCCAGAGGGGTCAAGGTTATCACAAGACAAACCACAAAAACAACTAATCTGGCTTAGAGTCTTAAACAACAACTAAAGAGCCTGAATGGGACCGATGGAGGCCCTCTAAGAACGTGTAACAGTTGTGTAGTTGGTCTACCTGTAGGACTCCTAACAGTGGGAGCAGAAGCTGTTCCTATAGTTCTGGCTGGCTATTGGGAACCTAGTTCTCATCCTGAATTGCCTTTCCCAGCCTGAATACAGGAGGAGGTGCTTAGTCTTACTGCAACTTGATATGCCATGCTTTGTTGATCCCATGGGAGGCCTGCCCCCTTTCTGAGGAGAAACAGAGAAGTTGATTGGGGGAGGGGTGCAGGGAGGGGAATGGGAGAGGGAACGGAAGGAAAGGAGGGAGGGGAAACTGGTCAAGATGTAAAATTATATGATAGATAGATAGATAGATAGATAGGTAGATAGATAGATAATAGATAGATAGATAGATAGATAGATAGATAGATAGATAGATAGATAGATTAAAGAGTACAAGTGGGCCAGGAGAAATAAAGAGGAACAATGGAAAAAACTGTGTTTGAAAATGCCAAAAATATTTCCAGGTGTACCTGCAACTACACACACACACACACACACACACACACTTTAATACACACATTACATACATGCACAGAAGAAGACATTTCAAATGTTGTATATTCTGAAATTTTCCTTCCATCTAAGCAAAGAAAAATAATTATTGTGTAGTATAGTTTCCTGTTCTATGATAACTTTTGCCTTGTAAATGGTTTGAAAGTTCCATCACCTTTTTAGCTGGGCAGGTGACTCTAGGGATCCAACGTGGAGCCTTGTGCATGTGAATTAGACATTACTTGTCATTTAGAGTTTTTATATATGTGCTGCAATTTGCAATCTTGGAATTGAGAGACTGTCTTGCTCACTTTTCTATTTGGAGCTGTGAGCACAATGTTGAAGGCATCTTGTAAGTTTTGGGCAGATAAATAACATTTTTCCTATTAAAAAGTACAATGATATTTATGTGATATTACATTAGATATTACATTGATATATCATGCTTTGTTGATCCCCATGGGAGACTCTTCATAAAATCCCACCTGGCACACTGGGAACTTCTAAACATTTTAACTGAGTGTTGGGGAATACAGAAAAGGACTGAACTTCACCAGAAGATGGAAAGAGGCCATGAAGTTCTGTTCACAGACACCTCAAACATTCATGTAAAACCAGACTCTTCATTACCCCGATGTGTTCATCCTTCATTTACTGGCTTCTGCTTATATTACTGTTGGCCATGGAGGTAATCAATGAAAAGATTTGTTCTTGCGTTCTACTTCTTGTCCACTCAGTTACCATGCCTGCCATGTCCTATGTCTGTGGAAAGACCGTTCCATGCTGTTGTAGTTCAGCTCTGTCTCTGGTCTCTGCTACCCACTTAAAACAGCCTCCTAACTGTGGTCATCCAAACACTGCCAGAGAGGCCCTCCACTTATTAGCTCTAGCACCCACCTAAGTGTCCAGCATGGCTATGTCTCTCTCCACCTAAGGTGCTGCAGAGATCTAGGACAAAGTGCAGGCTCCTAAACATAAACCTGAGTCTCCACAGCTGACTGAATAACACTTCCATCCCAGTGCCAATCTAATCACAGGTGACTGGCATTTTTTATCTTTATAGTCTGGGTACAAGAAA